TCAATTTTCCCCGCCTATGACCATTAAGCAACCAACACATCAAATAATAAATGGTGTTAAATACTGGTTTTGGGATCCATAAATATTCATCCAGTAACTTAAAAAAAAAAAAAAAAGCGGGAAAGAAATACGTTGTTAATCTGCATGCATAAAAACTGTCCGTCAATGTTTTGCATTTACAACTGAGGGGAAACATTTCTCAACAAACAGCGAGATGAACTAGCAATAGACAGTTATAATGGCGTCAAATGACAAAACTGACCTGATTTTACTATTTCCTGAAATGTCGAAACCTGGTCATGGTCATTGTTAACAATCATTGGAAAGCTATGATTCAATTAAACATCTTTTCATGCTCAGCAGCCCGGTATTTTGCGAATAAAATACAACCTCCTAAATCATCGTATAGCGTTCAAATTACCCATTTAAGTATCGCGCTAGTCCTTTTGTCTCGCAAACTGTTACTACTGTCGTAAATTCAATCATTATTTGACAGCATATACTTCTGGCATTGTGCCCTGTTAAGCAAAACGTACAGATATTATTATTTTGGGAGCCTTGGCGACGTTATCAAATTAATCTAAGATCTTTTACTGGTGTGAACTAGATATTTACTGAGTGGCCAATATTGCCGAGTTTGAGACGTAGGAAGCTTTTTTCTATTTTATGCGTCCTTTCAGGACCTGAGCGATGATGGCTCTCCTCTTCTTTGGTCATTTTAACATCTTTTTTTACTATTTACCATCTCTCTTTGTCGTTGTTCGGCAATTTATTTACACAAAATCACTAAATAAGTTACTCGCCGTCTCCCCTCACCGTGTCTCTTACATTCAGTATATCCTGTGACTATTTAATTCGCTATGCTTTCTTTCCTTGTTACGTGTGTGGGAAAATGAAATTAAATCAATAAATAAAATAATAAAGAATAAAAAATAAATACATTTTGAATAACCTGCAAAGGGTTGGTAAATCGTAGAAAAAGAATCAATCAATGTCAATCGATTTCTGTAACTTTTTATTTTCACTTCTTTTGGAACAGATCAAAAGTTTGAATCGAACGTTCCGTATCAATAAGAACTTGTATATGAATCTATTTTAGGAAGATCAATGACAAAGTGGAAAAGATTATTCGTGTGAGGCGTTTCGTCCTTTAGGACCTCATCGGGCTAAAGTTATGTTTACCTTGATGTGACTAAAACCTGCTCACAATTTTCCTAAAATTGTTCTGATATATAAGAATTTATATAAGTTCTTCCCATATGAGTTCATGTTATTTTAAGCAACCTACGTTTTATTTAGCCACTGTAATTTTAAATTTGAGTGAGAGTTTGATCAGAATTTCATTTTTATGTAACTTTTATATGGTTAACGCACTGAGTGCAATGTTTCTTTATCTATCAGTTTTAGTCATTTTTTTGTACCACCCAATTTGATATCTGAAAAATCCTTGAATCACGTTAGAAATAGATTGGCATACACAAGTATATTTAATTTGGATAAAATGTTTAGATGAAGTATTTTACTATCTTTATTATTGCATTAGTTTAACTTCAGAATTTTATTGTTGGTTTTAGCACAGTAATCTTCGTCCATATACGCTTCATTATTACTATTATTTTATTACTAGTTTCAATACTTTTATTATGACATTTTATCACAACACACTGGATCAATACACGTTCCATTATTACTACTTTTTTATTACTATTGTATTATCTTATTATTGTACCTTTTTACCACAACATTCTGGGTCAATAAAATTCTTCATTATTAGTGTTATTTTAATACTAGTTTTACTCTATTATTGATTTTTCACGCACGAAATCTTTCTGAATCATTAACGTCTTCCAATTCACTCCCAGTAACCCCTTGCGTCTTAGGGGCATCATCACCTTGCTTGGGGTAACAAGATTAAAAAATAACACAAAAGCAAAATACTAGAGTTGATATTTTTTAATCAATCAATCTAACCTAACCTACTTACCTCAGTATAGGGTAATGATTAGCAAGGCTAGTCTGGATGGACATTACTACTGAGTTGTGAGTTCGATCCTCAAAAGGTACACCATACAAAACTAGACATTAAATAACCCAACTATGGTCATAATATCAAACAGCCTCACCTAACTTAGTGAGTTTGATTCTCACTGAGTGCTCCTTGCTTCTAGACGTGTGCCCAAAATAAACTAGATTTAGTAAATAATTTCTAGGGAAATCCGAAGCCACATTAGAATTGCGAAATATGCCTTCCAAAAGTTAAACAAAGTATTAAGAAAGAGAAAAATTTCGTTAGAAGAAAAGAAAAAAAAGTGCTGAATTGCTGAGCACTACTAATCACTCACAATTTGCTCACAGATGAAGAGAAAACTTGAGACAACAGAAGGATGCTGAGAATACCATGGACTGAACATGTGAGTAACGAGAAAGTTTTAAGGAAAATAGAAACGATGAAACACTTATACTCAGAATCAAAGTTGAAATTAGAGACAGTTGAATATTTGGCATATATAATGAGGAAAGACGGCTTGGAGAATTTGACAGTCGCAGAATATATTGAAGGCAAGAGGGGCAAATGTAAACAGAGAGTAATTAACAAGTGTGTTTAAATGGATGCAAAACAAGGACTGGGATGATAACAAGGAGACAAAAATTGCTAAGAGTTTTTTTGTTTTTTTTTACTAATGTTCATAAGTTATAAGGACCAAGTGTCACTCAATAAAGAGGGCTTTTGTATGATGTCTTTTTTGTTTGAACGTAGGTGAAGGAGGTAGGAAGTGCAGTTTATGTGGCTATGTAGGAAACATAGCGTTTAACCTTTGATTTGAAGAGTTTAAGAATAGTAGGGATCGGGAAAATATCGCCTAGGGAGTCTGTTCCACAAAGTAGGGATTTGTGGGGAAGAAGCTCTCCGAGCGGAACTTCGTTCTTAGTAAAGTAATACAAAAGGAATGGGGATGATTCCTTCCAGTGTACATGGTAAGGTAGGTCTTAGCAGTGGAAAACAGAACTGGTGTAGTTAAGGAATGTATCGGGTCAGAACATTTGAAATGGAAATAGCAATAGAGTAACGAGAGGCTTGAGGTGTTTCGCCTGTGGGGAAAGTGTTTGTAGGGTGGGAAATAATTCATCACACACACGTTTTTTTTTGTTTGTTTTTTTACTCGATCAAGACAGGCGAGAGTGTAGAATGCTGGGGAGAGCCATTATCACCCATGTCCTGAAGGGATACAGCACATGAAAGAAGATGAATATTTATAGTGAAACAAGCGTGGAAATTGAGAAAGAAAGGATTTGGTCATAGAAAGACAAAGGAAAAAGAGTAGCAAAACAGATTGAGAGAGAAAGAGAGAGAGAGAGAGAGAGAGAGAGAGAGATTTAGGGTGTGAGAGAGAGAGAGAGACAGAGACTTAGAGAGAGAAAGAGTGATAGACACTTAGAGAGACTTAGAGAGAGACAGAGAGAGAGACAGAGAAAGACAAAGGGAGACTTAAAGAGAGAGACTTAGAGAGAGACAAAGAGAGACTTTGAGAGAGACTTAGAGAGACTTAGAGAGAGAGACTTAGAGAGAGAGAGAGTCTTAAAGAGGGAGACAGAGAAAAACTTAGAGAGGATATATAGAGAGAATTATTGATATGAAATGAAACTGAGGAATTAAGATATTCTATGCCATTAGTTTATAAAACGTAGTGTGTTTTTTATTTGTTATGCCAGTTTCCTTGGTGTCAAGATGCGCGTACTGATCAGAGCCAACGAATAATCACAAATACAGAGGTCAACAATTCAGCGGTAACAACAACAACACAATGGCTCCTCTGATAACCTGCTTGTCCAACAGTGTCATGGTGATAACTTATAGCAGCAATAGCAACAATAAACGACGGCCGTAACAACGAAGACAGTAGGATAGATGTTTTTTTGTTGCATTCACCAGTCTGTTGGCTGCAATATAATTTTGAGAACAATATGTATATTATTTGCCTTACTTCATTTTTCGTTTCTTTATAATAAAAAAATAAACCTTCCATTTCGACTTTGTTCACAGCCAATTGATTTGATTTGAGCTACTTATTGTAGGTCCTCTGGTAATTTATTTAATTTTCTTACTTTTGTCAAATCAAATACAAGGCCTAAGAGCCACTTGAGACATAAGTTTTATGAATGGGATTGTTTTAGAACGTACTAGCAGTATAACTCATCTTTGACCGGGTCTTTCAATATTGGGGAGCAGTTTAAGTTTAAATTCATCCCCTCGAAAATCAATATTAGTAACAACATTTGGGTGCAACTCAGGCACATCCCTAAATGGGGGGGTAACAATATGAATGGGGGTGCTGAAAAGGGAACTGTATAATAATAAATGATATTATTCTAATAATTTAAATTATTTATTTTTATTAAAGTTTTTATGAAAGATATATATTCAAGAACAGATAGCAAATATTAAAACATTACTGACAGTTATAATGAACAGGAAGTAGTGGAGAGACATTATCGCCAACAATTTGGACTCAAAACCGGCACTGAAGAATTATCTAACAAACAAAAAAAAATCATTGAAAACGTATGAAAACTGTGGAAATGCATAAACAACATCCGATCACACACACACAGACACACAGATATTGAGAATTCTAGATATAGATGAATTGTAATAGATGAAGTCATGTAGGATAGACAACGGGTGGCCCTAGATTTGAAGACTTTAATTTCGGATAAACATCTTCTCGGGATTCTAGTCCTGGGTATGACGATAAACTACATTCGGCAGCTGCTCGGGAGATTAGAGGTTTGAAGAAAAACCTCTTAATTGCTGTTGTTCACGGGTCGACGCTAATCTGGGGTGGTAGCACCTGCTAGACTCCCAGCTATGGGCAAATGGCGAACCCTCCAAGCAAAAATCAACGGTACATTTTTATAATAAAATAACCAACAATAGATTTTTATATTACAGACAAACCTCTCATCATCGGACTAATCGCTTCAATTAACCCATCAAATTAATGAAGGGTCTTAATCCTCTGTCTCTCTGCCGTCCGACATTTGCATTCAGATGGATACAGTTGAACCCAAATGCAGCTGGTCGAGTCTTCTACTTGACCCGCAGTGTCAAGCCGAGGCGAGATCAGCGTTGCAAAACTGCACTGATGTTCCTGACATCAGTTCTCGAATTGTTCACTGTATTGTCATATGTTAAAACGACAGCGACTTTTTTTTTTTTTCATTGTTGTCTGGAAACATTTTTTTTTTTAAAGTAAGAATTTTTTTCCCTAGAACTTTCTGTTGTTCGTCAATTGCCAGGTTCAAAGATACCAAACATATTTTGATATAGTTTTTATAAACATCACTTTATTTCCATTGTATACAAGGCCACAAAGCAGAAAGTACAATTGGAACCTGCCAAGGTTGATTAGTTGCTGGTGTGGATAACAATTACAAATGCGATTAGCCGGACATGACAGATAATTACGGTCGTGTGATTCGAAAAATTCTCATTAACTCATTTTTGTCTGTCAGCCATTGTTGAATACGAGCAACAAGGTAAATTATATCGGTATGTTTTAGATGGGGAATTGTCATTAATATATGCCATTCCATTCACACTATTATCCTCATCTTGGTTGCTATATTCACATCGTTTCGGTTGTTCTACCCTCCGGCCATCTTTTATTGTATATGTGCTAATTTTTGAGATGAGAAATTATTATTATATAACATTCCTTTCTGACTATTATCCTCATCTTGGTTGTTATACTCATATCGTTTCGGCTGTTCTACTCTCCGGCATTCTTTCATTGTCGATGCGGAATTATCATTATTATATACCACTCCATTGGGACTATTATCCTCATCTTGGTTGTTATACTAACATCGAGTCGGCCGTTCTAATCTCCGGTCTTCTTTCATTTTATATGTCAGAATTTTTAGATGCGGAATCATCACTATTATATGCCATTCTATTCGGACTATAAACCTTCATCTTGGTTGTTATACTAAAATCGTTTCAGCCGTTCTACCCTGCGGCCTTCTTTCATTGTATATGTTGGAATGTTTTAGATGAGGAATTATCATTATTATATGCCATTCCATTCTGACTGTTATCCTCATCTTGCTATTATACACAAATAACCATTATCCCCGGCAGATTCTTTTTATCTGGAAATGTTGATGGCTACTCCAGATGTACTCATCATGTTCAGAATCTTGTAACGAAACCATTTTTATCGACAATGACATTCTTGTCTACAAGTGTTCAAACACTAACTTACGTTCTTTAAATTGATAAAATGGAGACAAGTGCTTAGTTTCTGATGTGTTTTTTTTTATATTTTAAAACGACATACTACAGTTGACTTATTGTTACAGAGCTTAGTAAACTTCGTTGATATTTCTGTGGCTTCTCGGTGAGATTTCGTAAAAGATGGCACATGTGTGGAATGTTTGAATCAACCTAATTGTTTACGCAAAACACCGATAAGCAGATACATGCATTTGCGACAAAAAAGATTACATTTTGCATTAGACTATCTGCATATGTAGTAAGGTTATCTTTATCAGCTGCTGCCAAGAAGAAGTGATTTTATATATATATATATATATATATATATATATATGTGAAAAGTGTATATATGTATGAGTCCCGACGGACGACCAAGTATGTATATGTGTCTGCATACATCGATGTTTGCGTTAGTACGATGAATGACAAAACGACGAAATTTCCCCACCACTTCCACAATAACACCAATACACGCAATCTACATAAACCCAAATTTTTAAAACATTAATCAGTTTGTCTGACGATCGCTAAAGCGTGAAACCCAGGGTCACAAACTCACATCTATCCAACCAAAATATATATATATATATATATATATATATATATATATATATATATATATATATATCCTTTATTATTTAAAAGAGTAACAGGATGAAGCGCCAATCATAAAAGTTGCTCCAATTGAATGACCTTTTATCAATGACAATTCTTTTATCAAAATATATTAGTTATTCATTCATTCCAATTTTATGTCCGATTTTCTCTGTCTTTTCTATGCTCCATCCTTGAATTATACTAAACTACTTAGCCTTAGAACTCTCTTTGCAGACGATATTGTTTTGATGGTAGATTCAGAAGACAAACTGAAATAAATAGGCAAGTTTGTCGAAACAATCCTGGAAAATGACTAAATATTAAACTCCTATTAAATAAACTTTTAAAAATTCCCGATGTTTTCTATATAAATACATTCTGATGAACTTTCCCCTTGCAGTACTTAAGAGATTATTAATTTAAGCGTAGTAACAGATTGGCGGCAATATTTCATCATTTTAAAGTTGATCTTCAAAAATGTAAATGCAATGCCAATCGTTATCTTCTGTCTTCTTAATTCCTGCTATTTTATTGTTCTCTCTCGTTAATTAGTCTCTAACACTTAGTGACCATTTGCGTCTTAGCGGCTTTATTCCCTTGTACTGAAGCTGGATTTCTGTTTCAGCATCTATCAAATATATACAGGGTGCGATGGATAAATTGTCGTCTAAATTACTCACAAAAAAAAACCATTCAAATAAAACTGATATCTTATTTTAAACAGAAATATTTAACAAAATTATCCCAAAATAACTTGAAATTGTTAAAAGTAAATTTATTCAATAAAATTGCCATTGGCTACAACAACGGCCTCCAGATGACTTCGGAATCTCCTGCAACTCTTCTGGGAAGTCTCCTTGTTTGAATGGGTGAATGCTGCCATAATCCTTGCCTTCAGTTCACCTTTGAGGTTATAAGGAGTTTTGTTAGTCTCTCGCTCAACTGGGCCCCACACATAATAATCAAGAGGGTTGCAGTCTTGGGGGTTACGTGGCAAGATATAAGGGGTGATGTGATTGTCTGAAATTGTCTGACATCTATGACTGGGTTCTGCTTCTGTTACATGGTGCCGAATCCTGTTGCCAGACATAGGGTTTTCAAGCACCCACCCTCTTGACCCAGGGCAGCATTACCTCCTCAAGGCACTTTATATAGGCCTCCGTGTTGAGTCTGAAGCTCTGGGGAAAGATGAATGGAGGCATAATGTCGCCATGACTAGTGATCACTCTAAACATCATGATATTCACTGGATATATAATCTAACACTTTTTGAATCCTCTTCACTGTGCTCAGATTGACACCCAAACACTCTGAAATGTTCGTCTTGGAGCTTCCGATGCGAATGCCAAGCACTACAGCATGCCGTTTCCAAATTTTTGGTGGGGTGAATTGCGTCATGGTGCTCTTTTTATCACAGGCGCTGCCCAACTGACTCTATATATACTGTGCAGGTGACAAAATGTAAAACAACGCGCATGCGCGAAGTTAAAAATACAAAATAGCGACAATTTACCCATCGAAGGAACTATGGGACAATGTAGTTGTCAAATAATATCAAGCCTATACGGTCGAAACGTCGGCTTCTCTTGAGATGACAGGTATATTTGCTGAAAAGACCATTGGAGCAAGAAGATGAAGAAGAAAATTGGTAAGACCAGAACTCTTGTGCTGAGGATCAGAAAAATACAGTTATATTTTATAAGTCACATAATGAGGAAAGATGGATTAGATAAGTTGACCCACACAAGACACATTGAAGTCAAGATGGGCAGAAGGAAACATCGAGTGCCTTACCTAAAGATCTTGTTTAAATGAGTGGCAGAACATTGACTGGCTGGGAAATAAATTAATTTCATATAGATTAGCGATGTAAAAAATAGGAAGTTGCGGAGAGTCATGATCGCTCACATTCAGAAAGGATACGGTACATAAGTATGAAACTATGATCATTATACAATGCTTTTAATTAAAAAAGAATAGTGTAGCGAAGTACTGAAGTTAATTTTATTTTTCAGCATATGCCAATAGCGAAAGATGTCTTCCAAATGCTATGCAAAGTATTAAGAAACGAAAAAGTTCATTAGAAACAAAGAAAAGAGTACTGAACTCTAATGTAATATCGGTCCGCCTATATGGCAGTGAATTCTGGACCATGATGACGAAGAAACTTGAAGCAAAAGAAATGTGGTTCTACAGAAGGATGCTGAGAATACTATGAACAGAACATGTAAGTAATGAGGGAATTTTAAGGAAAATGGAACCATAAAGAACGCTTATAATTAGAATCAGAAAATAACAGCTAAAATTTCTAGGACATATAATGAGGAAATAACGATTGGAGAATTCGATACTCATAGGACAAGAGATTTTGATTGGTTGATTTATTCTCAACGGTTTATCAACCCTTTTCAGATTATTTAAAGCCAAAAAATATTTCTAGATTGTAAGATTTTTTTTTCAGATTACAATTATTTAGTGATATATGTCTTACTACTTAACCCATAGATGGGAGAGAAGAAGTAGATTCATACCTTCCCCGAAAGTATTTGCGCGTAAGTGAATATGACGAACCCAGAAGGAAATGCAACTCGGTTTTCCAAGCTCACAGCACCTGGTATTCATAAGCGGTCACCCATCTAACTTCTGACCAGGCTCGACGTTGATTAACTTCAATCATCATACGGGAACCGATGTTTCAAATTGATGTTGCCATAAGTTATTTTAACGCATAAATTGTATTTTTAGATCTAATCAATGTGTCTTTTCATAGATTAGGGTAGTTATTTTATTTTTTTAATTTTATTTTTATTTTTTTGCTAATTTTCATCCAATAGAAGGTTTGAGAGTCACTATTAAAATTTTATTAATGAATAAGCAACATTTTTTTTCTACGTAGATACCTTCCAACAAGAAAACAGATAAATTATTGATTCGTACAATACAAATTCACATCAGTACTGAAATATGACAGAAATCCCAATGTGCGTAGAAATACAAAAGATTTTCAGAAACAAGACGAAGCGTTAGCAACCAGAGACATTTTCGTTTGAAACGTCGAAATGAATGCTGAACTGTAATGTCATATCTCACGTTCTATATATCTGTGAATTTCACATTTATTTCAGTACTAGTCTCAATCAACGGGAATTGGAACTCGGCTCGCCGATTAACAATTCCGAGCCGTTATGTATTACACCAACCAGACATCAAGCTTACTGCACCTGGTATTTCTCATGCGCTCACTTAGCCGAGTACTGGCGAGGCTTGACATTGATTTAATTTCGGTGATCGTAAGATAACTGGTGTCTCAACGTGACGTTGATGTAAGCCTGAAGGCAAGAGAAAAGCAGCGAGTACCATATATAACAAGTTTGTGTAAATAGATCACAGAACAACGACTGGGAGTGGTGAAGGCATAGACATCTCTAAAAGCAAAGAATATGAAGTTGTGAAGATATGGTAACTAAGGAAAGGATGTGTAGAACTATGATCGTCCCAAATGAAACTATATCGGCAGCGTTCTGCTAATCCCGCCTTCATTTAGTCTGCAACTAAAAGAAAAACAAAACAAAACAGGAACTTTCGATGTTTACAACGAAGCGACCAACAGCTGGCGTTAGTGTTGATGCAAGTCACATGCAGATAGATGCGCAAATCTTGACAATTCGATGCTTTACTGTGCACGCGTACACTGTTAAACATAATCTTTGTTTTTTCTGTAACACACCTTTTTCTCACTCTAACTGTCTTTCTATGTCTCCATTCCTATTTTTTCTCCTAATTTTACCTCAAGCAAGGTAATAAAGCCACTAAGACACAAGGAGGTTGTTGAGTTTCAAAGAATATAGAAATAGAAAAACTATTACCAAGAAGCGGGAACAATAAAAAGAAGAGAATCTAAGACAAAATTTTATCTCCCTTTTTTCTTCCTCCTCTTCTCTTTCCCTTTCTCTCTTCCTCCTCCTCTCTTTCCCTTTCTCTCTTCCTCCTCCTCTCTTTTTCTTTCTCTCTTCTTCCTACTCTCTTTCCCTTTCTCTCTTCCTCCTCCTCTCTTTTTCTTTCTCTCTTCTTCCTCCTCTCTTTTCCTTTCTCTCTTCCTCCTCCTCTCTTTCCCTTCCTCTCTTCCCCTTCCTCTCTTCCTCCTCCTCTCTTTCCCTTTCTCTCTTCATCCTCCTCTCTTTCTCTCTTCCTCCTCCTCTCTTTCTCTTTCTCTCTTCCTCCTCCTCTCTTTCCCTTCCTCTCTTCTCTCTCTCGATCTCTTTCTCTCCCTCCTTAATCACGCTGAAAATACCGGTTCTCGTTCGATCAGCCAAGTTAAGCAGCGTCGAGCCCGGTTAGTACTTAGATGGGGGATCACTTGGGAAGACCGTGTACTATAAGCAATCTCCTACAATCCGAAATGTGTTTCAGCCTAAAATAACCCACAAGATGGGTTGGTAAGCTGTAAAAAAAACAAATCAATTAATCTCTCGCTCCTCTCTTTTTTATCATTACCCTTTCTTTATTTCTCTCCTCCTCTCTTTTGACATTCCTTATCTTTTGTCTTTTATGTCCTTCTATCTTTCTCTATCACCCACTCTAACTTTTCTCTTCTTCCACTTCTTTTTTTTTTATATTTCTCTGTTACAACCCGTACTTTATCCCTCTAGTTCTCTTTTTTCACCACTCTCTCTCTCTCACCTTTTCCTTCTCTCTCTCTCTCTATTTTATTCCCTGTCTTTATCTCTTCTTTTGCTTCTTTCTTATTTTCTCTATCATCTCTATGTCACCTTTCTTATACTCTCTAGCCTTTTGCTTTTTCTGTATTGACTTCAAAATTCCCTCTTTCCCTCTCGCTCCATCTCTTTCTCTTTCTCATATTCTTCCATTCCTAATTTGTCTCTCTCTCTCTCTCTCTCTCTCTCTCTCTCTCTTTAGTTCATTCATCCTTCTCTTTTACCAAAGATAAGTGCATTTGATTAAAATAACCGATAAACGCTGGACCAGCGCGAATTGTCCTGTAGTGAGCACTCCAACGCTTTACCCCCGCTGACGTCAAACTGGCAGCTTTCGACACTGATAAGAGTTTAAAGAAGTAACATGACTGGCATCACGTTTCGCCGAAAGTCAAGCGTGACATTTTAGATTGCTATCGTCTGCCAATATTGAAACACAACAAAGGGAGATAACCGAAATTATGAACGAGCATACAGGGAGATAATCCATCATTAAACGGCTTAATTTCTAAAAAACTGAGGGTTAGTTTAATTAATTCATTTTATATGTCATATCTCTCCAGGGGGTGGCTCTCCGCTATTTCCTGCCTTTTGTTGCTAGAAGTAACTTTTTACCTTTTTGTTCATTTACTCAAACTGATGGAGGTTATTTACTGTTCCATTCTGCTTCTCTTGCCTTCTGTATACCCTATGAGTGTTAAATTCTCTACGGCTTTTTCTCCTCATGCTTCTTTTATGTGTAGTGATACTACAGAATATGGGCGATCGTGGCTCTCCATGAGTTCCTGTCTTTATTGTGCAAATTCGGACTTTTCAGCATCTTCCCATTGAACCTGCTCTACTATCGATTTACTTAAATGTATGGAGGTTATTTACTTTTTCCACCTACTTCTCTTGCGTTCAGTATGTCTTGTGAGTGCTAAATTCTCGACGTCTACTTTCCTCAAGTGCTCGGACGACTTACACTCCCTCGTCCCGCTAAGGCAAACCTTCATGACAAGGACACGCCATAGTAGCAAACCATGCATATTCCCTCCATATCCCATCGGTGAGTAGTAAGTTCCACTCGAACAGCCTCTTCCCGCGGACCACTGCCCTGTAGAATCGACTCCCAACAGGATGTTTTCCCCGATCAATACTATCTTAACCTATTTAAGGCTAGAGTTGATCGTTATTTATCTCACCTATACACAAAAATTGCCTCCTAACATAACCCTCCATTTAGAATGGCTCCTGGACCTTATAAAGGGTGACACTCACTGTAAAAAAAAATCCCAGAAATTCCAACTGTTTGCTGATGGTTGTTAGTAGAAGCTTCTATGTAGTTCCTATTGTCTTTGAAATCTCTTTGTTTTTCACGTCTTCAGTTCATGATATTCTCAGCATTTACTTGTTGAACTACAGCCCAGTCACTTCAAGCCTCTTGAAGAAAACTGTCCAATTTACACTGTTATATAGAAGATTAGCTATTAAAGATTAGCTATTAAAGATTAGCTATTAAAGAGCAGTGAAGATGTCTTTTCTTTGTCTCTAAAATCTTTTTCTTTAGTTTTCATAACTTGCCTTGTGAATATGTCTGCTGATGATACAACGATATATGGGTGTACCTACAAAACTCGAGATGACCAGATTTTGACCTCTGGTCTCTCTGTCATAACAGCTCACTAGAGAAAAATGACGGGATACATTCAACGTCTCGAAAACAAAACTAATGGCATCACATCATCACCGAGAGGCGCCTGAATTTTTACCTATCGCGATGAACGTGTGTTCTCCGAGGGAGGCCCCGTACCTTGAACGCCTGTTGGGACGTAAGCTCAACTTAGGCGTCAAGTGGAACTCACACATACGATACACTGCGAAAAATAATAAAAATAATGGTTGGCTCCTTGCTATCCTCTACATTTGCAAGAGCCAAATCAGACCGAAAATGCAGCCCAGTCTTAATTTTTCAGTTTTGATAGAGTCCTAAATCAGCCACGCCTCCTTGCGGATGACGAATTAATTCCCACCCTACAACCATTTTCCCACAGACGAAATCTAGCGAGTCTCTCGCTGCTCTATCGTTATTTCCATGGAAAGTGTTCAGACGGACTATCTTCCTTAGTTCCATCAGTTCTAACTTCACGGCTAAGACTTGCCATATCGCGCACATTGTAGCGAACCATCTTTATTCCATTGATGAAATGTAAGTTCCACTCGAACATCATCTTCCCACGAACCACTGCTTTGTGGAACCAACTTCCAAGAGGATGTTTTCGCGATCACTACAATCTTAATATGTTCAAAGTCTACGGTTAAACCTTATCTTCCACGCATAGCGCCATAAACTCCATATCTTATTCTATAACCCCCTATCTCGAATAGCTCTTGTGCTTTGTACAGGGTGAAGATTATTGTAAAAAAAAATCTTTCGTTATTCTGATGCACCTTCTTTAAATTTGTTATATTTTTCGTTATCCGATACTGCACTCTCGACGTTCCCAATATGTAGATCACATTTTAGATTCTAAGATGGCTGACAACCTCCAGCTCTATCTTCTTATAGAGTATCCTTTTTACAGTATATTCTATAAGCGGGCATCTCTATTCTATGTCTATGCACCTCTATTGTCTCAAGTTTTCTCTTCATCTCTGAAGAAATTGTCCTGCATTCACTGCCGTATAGAAGATAAGATATGCAACATATTTTTTTTTGTTTCTTACGAAATTTTCCATCCTTTTCGATCTTTGCTTATTTTCTGCAAGGCATCTTTTGCAGTTAACTACTAGCCGTATTCATATTGCTGTCACATTTTCCTTTGTCTGTTACTGCAGAGAAAGTAGATAGAAGTACATTATGGGCAATTTTATTATAAATGCGGGGAAAAAACTTGAAGAGCCCGAGATATGAATCTGCTGAGGATTATTGACAATGTAATAGAAAGAAAATGTGACACAATGAGAAAAATAGACTTGGTAAATGTAACGCTCACTGGACACATCAATAGCAAGATGCGAGGGAGGGTTGAAAAGTTCATAGGCTGACCATGAAGAAGTGATGCTACAGCTGTAAAATCTTGCATGCATTAATTTTAACTCTATTTTTTTTATTAATAATGTACGGTTTCATTCCAGGTAAACTGATCTGACCGTTCAAAGAAGTCTTTAAAATTAACTAGCAGCATCTTCTCTTTAAAATGGACAAAATTTGGCATTGTGGTGTTATCAAGTCCCCGCAGAAAAAGAAAGGTTTATTCCCCAAGAAGATTCATGCTGACATAGTTGCTAAATTAGGGGATGACGATCCTAGGAGCGGAAGAGAGAGTCTTGAAGATGACTCAGTCTGGATATCCTGCAACTGCTACTGCCGAAGAAAACATTGATCAACAGGCGGTTGACTATAAATATGTTGTATCATACCTACGGACAATAATGGGTATGTCCCCATTCACATAAATACAGTAGTAAATACTGTATGTTGATCTACAGTTGGAGATATCTCTCCAGTTGTTCTGCTCAAACTCTCTGTAGAGAGGATCCCCAGACGAGGCTATGTCGAAGGGCAGAATCTCCTCTCTGGAAACAGCTACTCGACCTAGATTTATACGGGGTCTACGGGGAATTATTGGCCGAGTCTACACATTAAATTCGGCCTTGTGCCACATCTGACCGCATGGGGTGGTGGGTAGATTTTCTGCAGTTGGAGATTCGTCTCCAACTGTGCTGGTCAAACTCTCTGCAGAAAGGATCCCCAGACGAAGCTATGTCGAAGGGCAGAGTCCCGTTTTATACATAAATTTCGGCCTTGTGCCACATCTGACCGAGTGGGGCGGTTGGTAGATATCATGCAGTTAGAGATTCGTTGTGGAATTCACTTGACTCACTTCTAACAGTTGACTACTTCTTCTACGCGCCTCTGGCAAATCTTATATGTGTTGTTCTTGTCCTAAGTATTATCGCTCTTTACCAACCTTCGTTGATTATTCTATTCAGTAACCTTCCCTGGGTTACAACAAAATCGAATAGTCCATTTTATTAGCATGTCCCGTTGGAGAGTTAAGAATATTCTGAACAATGAACTTGGTGGATGCCACATCTTTTGAGACCCGATCAAAAGCGCATCAGGCTAATTAAATCACGGGAAAATCTGATATTGTCTGAGGCAGATCCAACTGATTTCTTTGAAAGTTTTCTAATTCAGGATGAATGTTGGGTTCATCGCTTTGAGCATTGGATACACCCCTCTTTACCTGCTTCAAAAATGGCCAATGTCGTTTCATATGCAGGGAAAGTAATGGCTTCAGTTTTGTGGGATGCAAAAGGCATTGTGCTTATTGTTTTCAGTTGATCTTCAAAAGAGCTACTCAATTTTAAGTACTATGCCAACTTGCTGAGGCAGTTATGAAAGGCTATCAAGACGTAACATCTAGGAATACCGACGAAAGCAGACCTGTTTCATTAGGACAATGTTCCAACACACGTCGTAGGTTTCAGTGGTTGCTGTGTATGACTGTGGGTTTGAACTGGTTGTAGCGGTGACTTACCTCGACGACCCAAAAAGATCAGAGTCGCGCGTATATTTCGCAAGGGAGTGTGGAGACGGCGAATTGGCGAGCTTCGGACGGACGGTGAATCGGGCAGCACTTCGTGTTGATGGAAGCTGTGGTGTCACTTGTAACAATTTTTATTGGCTGGCTCTGGGCGCTCATTGGCTGATTGTTGGCTGGGACAGGTGTATAAAAACATGGTACGCTCATTCAACGGGAGTTCGTTTTTCGCTTCGGGCATATTGGAAATCGAAACACAGAGAGAAGCGAGGATTTGTTTTGCCTAGTGAATCTATTGGACTCGCACTAACTTTTCCACCCTTTCTTTTCCTGTGTGTACCTCCAACCAATTTTTGCACACTGGTTCGGATTTGACTATCATCTGTTCTCCAACACTTGGCTGGAAGTATCACTTCTTCGTAGTCAGCCTATGAACTTTTCAGCCCACCCTCGTAAGCATAGGAAATCAATAAATAACCTACTTGATAAGTTAGAATAAATTGAGCAATTTACAAAGATAATGCGGATTTGTAATCAATGTTTTTTGAGAGTAGCAAAAGAAAGACAGTTGTGTAAAACCATGACCACCCAGGTCCTAAAAAATGGTAAACATTACCAGAGAGAGAGAGAGAGAGAGAGAGAGAGAGAGAGAGAGAGAGAGAGCAATTGTTGTATCTTTTCTCTTGTATCAAACAATTTCCATCAAGGAATTTTCCGATCATGCAATCTCCAACTATATTTTCTCTCTCCTACATGTCCCTATACTTTTTATTTTTCTCTTGACAAAGACACAGAGAGAGAAAGAGAGAGATGGTGATATATATATATATATATATATATATATATATATATATATATATATATATATATATATATATATATGTGTGTGTGTGTGGATATATATATATATATATATATATATATATATATATATATTTTGAACAATGAAAAAATATAAAAATTAAAATCGTTAGACACACTGGGTTGTAAATTAATATTCTTTCGTTTTTTTTTAATTATTATTTCATTTAGATTCCTCGACTAGTTTCAACCAACATGGCCATCATCGGGAGGAGAAATATTTCTGTTTGCTGGTAGCAGTAAACTACAGAAAATCTAGAATATATATATATATATATATATATATATATATATATGTATATATATATATATGGAGAGAGAGAGAGAGAGAAAGAGAGAGCGAGAGAATGTGATATAGATAGATAGATAAAGAGAGAGAGAGAGATTTCTCTCTCTCTCTCTCTTTCTGTTTCTCTAGATTTCTTCCAATCTTTCTATACAGTTACTGATTTCACTTTTTTTACTGGCTTATATACCTTTCTCTTCTATGTCAATTTCTGTTCCATGGAGATTTATCTCTCTCTCTCTCTCTTTCTTTCTTTCTATCTTTCTTTCTTTCATGACATGTTTATCCTATCTTCAATTTCTAAACGAAGAAACGAATCTTTGCCTTTGGATTCTATAAATGTCAGCAAATCTCAAATCCTAAAATGGCCGACCACCGATGTCCACTATGAAAAGGTCTGCCCGAAAAGAGGTACGCTGTAGTTGAAAAAAAGAAATTCGCGCTAGATGCTGGCGACGACCGAATTTCAGTTTTTTTTTTTTTAGGAACAAGGAGAGCAAGACGATTCAACTAATAGTGGCTACGTGACTGAAGGCCCTGAACTCTCAGTGGACACGAGAGACAGCAGTGAAAGCGATATGCAGTATGCACAGGAAGCACGCATGAGGAAAATGGCGGAAGCAATCTTCTTCGTGTAATTGTAATTATCATTATGATGTTGACGATGAAAATAATAGCTCCCCAATTAAAAGAATATTGCAATGCATTTCTATAGATCGTTTACAATCTATTTACATCATATAATACATATAACAGGCATTGCCTCTCAGCAACGCTCGCTCCAGATATTTACTACTTACATCCCCTTTCTATGTTATTTTCAATGCATTTATTACTTCTTTATACGTCTTTATAAATACACACACACACACACACATATATATATATATATATATATATGGCTGTCAATATACTCCATAACAAGCTCGAGTGTTTAGCCTTGGAGTGGAGATCAACGTGTTTTAGTGGACTCAAGAGTTTTCAATCAGCTTGTCTGAACCATCTTCAAGAAGCGAGAGGAAGATCTAAAAGGTCAGCCAATCTAACAGTGATATCATCCCACAATCCTCATTTTTGCTCCATATGCGGCCTCTTTTGTAAATCACTAGCGGGTCTTAAGTGCCATAAGATTATCGCCTCATACCATCCATTATATATATATATATATATATATATATATATATATATATATATATATATATATATATATATATATATATTAGAAGGAACAGTGGCTTAATGGATAGCGGCTTGGATTGAAGAATCGGAGAGCCGAGAGTTCCAGTCCGTTACATTCACTTACGTGTTAATACCATTGGGAAAGGTATGAATCCTTTTCTTCTCCCTGCAGTTATGAGTAAATAGCAGGATAGACTGGGTTCTGTAGCCTTGGATATGGATTTTGGTTTAGGAGAACGAAAATTCTGAATTAAAACACTGCCGGGGTCGTTTGGGGACCTTGTGGCACGTAGTGCACGAGATCTCTGTATTTGGATGATCAGCACAAAACCTTCACCACTATGATCAAATCTCATGTGCTGGTGTGTGTGTGTATATATATATATATATATATATATATATATATATATATATATATATATATATATATATATATATATACATACAACAAAGAGAGAGCACGGAGATAAAAGTGATACTAATTATAAATAAATTTTCAGCGCCCTTTCGCGCAACTCGGAGCTTCCTGCACATGGCAATCATCATGGAGCACAACATTTGATCTGGTCTCGCTCCCTTTAATCAATACACATGACACCACTGTGGACCTTTTCAAACTTTCATCTCCTTATAAAATACCAGTCTATAGACAACAGAATCTTGCCTACGACACTGACCGCACATTGTTCTTGAAAATGACTGAATCGATCGTAAGTAGTTGAAGAAAATCAACAGAAGGAATATCAACTTTTGACAGTGTATTCATAATTTCGATCGTAACATTCTTATTTCAGAAATTGGAAAAAAATATCAATAAAATGACTATCCATGAAAAATAACCATGGAAGTTTTGTAATTTTCAACGACTGAATGAAAAGGCAAATTTTTGTTTGAAAAGAATTCTGACAGTATTAAAAATCGAACCTGAAAACTTGCACAATGTGGCTCATTGTTTGTCTATTTAGACACAGCTTTCTGAAATGATTGCATTAATTGCATCATTGTACGATCGTCTGATCCTAAAGCGTTTAATGCGAAAAGACGGACATCTAAAACCAAAACGTCTTTGTCTTCTTGATATCACTTCCGTAAACATTAACAGACGTCATAACTTCTTTCATCAATGGGAACTCATCTTACATACCTCCATCTTTTTTTCATTTTGTTCTGAAAAACAAACAAATATTTCATTTGGCTTATTTCTACTTACTAAGGTTTCTAACATCAGAAATGGAATTTCTATTTTCCATGAATACGATATTCATCACGTCACTCACTTTTCGAAGGAAAACGTTTACAAAGAAACATTTATATGTACACTGACTTTTTTCTGATATCATCGACAAGAAAATTGTGTAACCTTCACACACACACACAAACACACATATACATACATATATATATATATATATATATATATATATATATATATATATATATATATATATCATGAAGATCGTGTTCAAACAGCAGACTGTCACCTCACTGTCTACTTTTATATTTATATATAATCTATCCCTGATATTGAACAACTTTACCCATAAATATAGCATACCATAATACACACACACACATATATATATATATATATATATATATATATATATATATATATATATATATATATATATATTCTCGTCTCACCCTAGATATGGGTTAAATAGCAGAACAGAGAAGCTTTCTAGCTGTGGTTGGTAACCAGTCTAGTTGAAGGAAAACTTTGAATTCAAATCACAACAATTGTCCATGGTCAAAACCTTTAGTAACGAGGATAGGAAATATATATATATATATATATATTACCCAACCGCACAACCAACACACACACAACACACACACGCAGTGTATATATACATTTGGCAGGAATCGAACCTGCTTCTCTCAGTGTAGAGGGAGCCAAGTTGAAGTATTGCCGAGGGCGAAAGTTATTCTTTAATAAGATATCTCGAACATTCAGACCGTAGACGAAAATAGATTAAAAAGTGTTTAATAAATAAACGGGGCGTCTCTTCAAATACGAGTATCCGCTAAAAATAACGGTTAAAGTGATACTGTCGGATTAATAAAAAATCTTTTCTAAAAATTTACATATACGCGTTTCAGTCACTTAGGGACTTTACAAAGGCAAATACAAGGATTTTATTTTGTAAAAAGTATTTATATATTGTGTATAAATATTTGTTAAAAGATAAGATGCTTCCATTGGCCTTGATAAAGTTCGTCAGAGGACGAAATGTGGAGGCTAAGATAAATTTCCCTTTTGTCTTTTTTCATATTGTCCTATTACAGGTATATTTTATACACGCTTAAAAGCCGCTCTATTGGGCGGCATTTAAGCTAGCTCCTGCGCAGGGCTTTTGATTGGGGCTTCATCCCAATAGGTGGGGAGGAGTAGATGCGATAGGCAATAATAAGCTAAAGAACTCAAAATTGATCGCTACATCTAAGCTTAGCCTTAATATTTAAGCTTACCTTTTAAAAGTTCAACGATATTTCTTCTGCCGCCACTTAATTTAAAGGCAATTTGATGTACGTAGGTCCTTACTTTCCGTGAAAACAATTATTTTTTTTTATTTCATGGGTGATTTTCGCTGGATTTCGCAATAAATTTCGATTATTCCCAAATTTCCAAGTTATAAAAATTGTTATCGTACAAAAAAAATCGTCGCAAATAATCATGTAAAAAATCCCCGAACAAATCGCAGTAATGAAAACTTGGGAATCCAAAATTTCAGAATTGCGGATCCGGGCCAGAATGTTTTTAATTTGCTGAAGGAGTCGGACTGATTCCAAAATGGTAGGATATGTTGGGCTACGGCCTCTGGAAGTAAAGTTGAAAATGCAAACAATTTTATTTTGAAACTCTTTAATTTGAGAACAGTATTTTTTCATTTGAACATCAGTTATTGAAACTTAGAGAGTTGTGTTCCTTAAACTTTTTTTATCACTAGAAGTCAAGATACGGAATCGGAAAACAACTGCAGTAATGAAAACTTGGGAATCCAAAATTTCAGAATTGCGGGCCCAGATCCGGGCCAGAATGTTTTTAATTTGTTCACCCGAGTCGGCCTGATTCCAAAATGTTGGGTTATGGATTCTTGGAGTAAAGTTGAAAAAATGCTCCAGTCTTGAGGGCCCTTTGTACATCGGCTGCCATTTTGACCTTGTCTGACAGATTAGCCTTACTATCGATGCAGAAGTATATGTAGTGTCGTTAGCGTAAATGCCAAGGTGAGAGATTGTGTCATCGGGGAGGTCGTTAATGAAGATTAAAAACAGAGTAGGAACAAGGATTGAGCCCTGGGGGATATCGACTTTAGTACGAAAGGATGTAGACGATGGCCGTTCAGGACAACTTTCATTTCACGACTTGAAAGGAACGACCGGATCAGCTCAAATACATACCTGAAGATATCGTAGCTTTTCAGCTTGTGGATAAGACCTGAATACCAGACTCTGTCAAAGGCTTTCAATATGTCCACTGCTACAGCTAGAACTTCACTGTTTTTTATCTAGAGCATGGTAGATTCTTTCTTCAATTATCTTTAGTACTTCAGCAGTTGATCAGGAGAAACGAAAGGCTCTGGAGGAGAGATGACGAACCAGTTCAGCATAGATTAGGGCCTCTATGAGTTTCCCCAAAAGAGTCAGAAGGCTAATGACTCGATAGTTGGATGATCCAGGTTGTTCACTAGAGTTCTTAAAAACTGGAACAACAGATGATGACTTCCAGCAAGCAGGAAAACAGGAGGCAGAAAGGCATTTTTATACAGTTTACAGAGCACAGGAGCTAATTCGGGAGCTAATAGATGACTATTTGTTATACCAGAACATTACCTATTCTATTGTAATAGACTCTCCCACACATAATAAGTAGTAGTAGTAGTAGCGGTCGCCAGTTGAGCTCAGTGGAGTTGATTGAGTCAGTCGATGTCGGACATTGAAGTATCAACGACCACAACTAGATTGCTGCGTCATTAACTATTTTTTCAAGTTCCTAACATTTTGTACGTCGAACCTAATTTAGGACGACTTAGTGAAATACAAGCCTCCACTGTGAAAACTACTTTACAACACTATTACAGGGATGCCATCGGGTCCACATGCTTTTTGGGGATCAAGGTTAGAGATTATAGCAGAAACCAGGTCAGGGGTTATATGCATATCCCTCAGCAGAGAAGCAGTTCTAACTGGAAAGTTAGACAGGGATACTCCAGATGAGTCAAACTTTGCCCGTAAACTATCCTCAAACTCTACGTTTGAAGATAGTTTACGGACAAAGCATTCATCTTTCTCAGCAGAGGATGACAACACCTAAAATCTATTGAAGATGTGATGAATAGAGACCTTGCACTTATTTAGTACCTTATTACAGAGACGCCATTAGCCTCGAGAGCCAAAATTTTTAGAGGTTATGCGGTGCCTAGTCCTCTCAAACAGGGTCTTAGCTTGTTCGAGGACTCTCTTACATTTGCTACGAGCAGTCACAAATAGGCACCTGTTATAACAAGTGTCATGCTGGTGTAGCCGGAAATAGTGGTTCCTGGTTGCTATGGTGGGCGAGCTTGCTAGCATGAAGGGGATTGCAGTTTCACCTGGTATTTCCGAGAGGGGATGAAAGCGTCGGCTTTGACCTAAGAAGAAACCTCAGTGGCACGATTTTCATTTGGGAGGTTGAAGATATCAGTCCAAGAGGCGTCACGAACAAAATCCCGGAATGAGACCCAATCATGTGTCGTGTCGAAGACAAAAATGTTCGCATATGGATGGAGAGAAAGTACTTTTTTCTATACTTTCAGCTATTGCGTCTAATATACTGCAGTCTTGGGAAAAGGGAAAGCGATTAAGGAAAAAGAGATAGCCGACAATCATTTCGGCAAAAGGGAAGATACTCTGTAAGTTGGTTTCACAGAGGGCAAAGACATCTGGCGACTTTTCCAGGAGAAAAGATTCGATGCTGCAGAAATTGGAACGGACACCACGAATATTGGAGAAAGAAAGATTGACTGAGGTCGGTAATTTTTTTTTTTTTTTTTTTTTTGTTAGCTGGTTTAGTTTTCTTTCTTTCTTTTTTTGTGATTTCTATGAAATATATTTTGAGGAGAGAGAAAAAAAGACCACCTTAATTATCACTATATATTTTCAATGGCGATACAAGCCAGCCAGTCCATAGATGAGAGCAGGGCATAATATGCCCTCAGGATTGACCACCCAAAATAGATGCATAGACGACGACCCATGTTATGCGACAGTTGATAGGAGCAACCTCTCAAAGCGCTACCAAAAATTCGGGCTTTGGAAGTAACATCCAGCAAACTGCCAACCTGAACCACCCTACAGCCATTGGTTAGTCGGATCACCAAAGAGTTAAATCATTGTGACCCTGGTAAGAGAAAGAAGGAGAGTCGCTAAACCATATCCTGAACAGGGAACAAGGGATGAACCTCTACTCCTGTTCAATAATTTTTGGAATGCATCTTTTGCTGTCCCAGTGCGCCTTCGGATTTAACTGTTGCACTTTTCCGTCTTCTGTTAAAACACTTCCCAGATATATAAATTTCCTCACTTGTTTGATTTTGTTATCCCCGATTTGTAATTTGCATTTTGGGCTCATCCTTTTGCTAACAACCATGCATTATGTCTTCTTGTAGTTACAGTTTCATCCTTTTTTCTCGCTTTCCTTCACTACCGCTTGTAGGAGTTTTTGGAGTTTCCTTTCTTTCCGTGTCTGCTATCAACACTGTGTCATCCATATGTATCATGTTGTTAAGATTGTGGTCGCCAATAATGAATCCTGGTAGGATATCAAATTCCCCCGGAATCAGCTCGCTGTAATATTTTTTCCTTTTCTTCCTTTCTTTCTTTTGTTGCTGTTGTTTGCTTCTTTCTTTCTTTCTTTCTTTCTTTCTTTCTTTTGTTGCTGTTGTTTGCTTCTTTCTTTCTTTTGTTGCTGTTGTTTGCTTCTTTCTTTCTTTTGTTGCTGTTGTTTGCTTCTTTCTTTCTTTCTTTTCTTGCTGTTGTTTGCTTCTTTCTTTCTTTCTTTCTTTCTTTCATTTGTTTCTGTTGTTTGCTTCTTTCTTTCTTTCTTTTCTTGCTGTTGTTTGCTTCTTTCTTTCTTTCTTTTGTTGCTGTTGTTTGCTTCTTTCTTTCTTTCTTTTGTTGCTGTTGTTTGCTTCTTTCTTTCTTTCTTTTGTTGCTGTTGTTTGCTTCTTTCTTTCTTTTCTTGTTTGCTTCTTTCATTTGCTTCATTTCTTGTTTGTTTCAGTATTTTATCTTAGATTTTGCTTTTGTTTTTGTTTCTTTTGTTTGCTGGTTTCTTTTGTTTATTTTTTATTTGTTTCTTTTTGTTTCTTTCTTTCCATTTTTTTATGTGTTCGTTTTTTCTTTCTTTTGACTCTTTTTGTTTGCTTTTTTATATGTTCCATTTTTGTTTCTTTTTCTTTTCAATTTCTTATTCTCGTGTCTCTTTTTCCTTCCTTTTGTTTCTTTTTCCCCGGTTTGTTTTTCTCTTTGTTTATTCTACTTGCTCGTTTCTTTTTTATTCTTTTTTTCCTTGCTTTCTGTCTGTTTCTTTCTTTCTAAATTATTTTTTCGCTTTGCCTTTCAATTTATTTTTCTTTCATTCGTCTGGTTGTATGGTTGGTGTGTTTTTTTTTTTTTTTTTCGTTTGTTCGTTTCTTTTTTATTTGTTTATTTGTTTTTGCTTCGTTCTTTGTTTCTTTATATCCTTCGAATTTCTTTCCTCATGTTTCCTTTGTTAATTTTATTTCTCGCGTCTTTCCTCTTTCCAATTCATCTTCTTTTGTTTACTTGTTTCATTCTTCCTTTCATTTATTCTTTCTTTCTTTCTTTTCTAATTCTTCCTCATCTTTTTCCCTATCTGCTATTGTTATTAATTTCGGTGTCCTTCTTTGTTTCCTACTCGTCCTCCAATATCGGTCAGTGGGTCTAAAAAAAAAAAAGAAAAAGAAAATGTCCTCAATTTAGGTTATAAGTTCAAAAAGAAGAATTCACACGAATCTACGGCAACCAAGGATATGGGTCGAGGCAGGAAGACCTGCTTTCTTAAATGATTTCGTACAATAAACCCGCACATTTACGGATGGAAATAAATTGTCACTTAAGCATACGTCTCCGTCAGTGGTCATATAACAAAGACGCACTGCAAACAAAGAAAGCAGCTGTTACTTCTGTCGCAGACTTTCTAAGGACATAAAAGAGCGGGAAAAATAAAGGTATAGAGATGGCTAGATATAGAGAGAGTGGCTGTTCGGTAAGTAGATAAACTGACATGGTGACAGAAGTGTTTATGATTATGACAAACGCACACACACACACACACACACAAAGAGAGAGAGATACATACATATATTTGGGAAAACAGTATCAAGAACAATTTTAGGAGAAAGTATTATGCCTAAGTGGATAAAGTCGGATATTGAATAACAAAGTGAATTGAAAAAAGAAAGAATCTAAATGAAATCGACTAGATTATCTAGCCAAAACATACTATTTAAAAAAAAAATGGATTCTCAGAATCCCCATTTCTTTTGTACGCAAGTGCAGTCGCATCACGTGAACATAAATTTGGTCTTAAAGTACAAAACGCGTTACACGAAAACTTTTTTTTTCGACTTTGTCATACAATTTCGCCAATCACACACACACACACACACACACACACACACACACATATATATATATATATATATATATATATATATATATATATATATATATTGAACAATAAAAGTATTAAAAAATTAAAATCTTCAGACACACTGGGTTGTAAATTAATATTCTTTCGTTTTTATTATTATTATTATTTCATTTAGATTCTTCGACTAGTTTCGGCCATCATCAGGAGAAAAAAAATTCTGCTTGCTGGTAGCAGTGAACTACAGAAATGAATGTTTTGATGGAGAAAATGAATTTTTGTCTGTAGTTTTCATTTGTTTTTTGTTTTTTTATCTTTTTAACATGAATCTTTTAACATTCCTTGTGTTGGTCAAACAGTCTCTTTTAAGTTGTTACTTGAGATAAGAGCTGGATGGATCCATCCTGCTCTGAATTCCCGTCGTCAGTTTGACAGTTTTATTGGTTCCTGGAGAGGGGATGTGTGTCTGTTAAGTGTGTGTGTGTGTTATTTGGTTCTTAGGGAGTGAGTGAGTATGATATGTGTAAGCGTGTATATTACTGTGGGTGTGTGTTATCATTTGGCTCATTAGGGAATGAATGAGTATGATGTGTGTAAGTGTGTATATTTGTGTGTGTGTGTGTGTATAAGTGTGAGGCCTCAACCCCTCCGTAAGCATGTCTGTCTTGTGTGGGTGAGAAATGTGGGTAGGTTTTGATTTATAGGGTTATATATCAATACTATCTATATTGTTAAATTTATAGTTAAGCCCGGCTATATAGTGTGTTTTTAAACGTTGTATCCACTTATTTTCATGGAACTCTAAAATCTTTCTAATGTTATCTGCTCTGGACATTTCTATTCTCTCAATTATAGTGAATTAGGCATGGGTTTTGAAATCGTGTTTTTCTAGGCGGAAATGTTGTTCTATAGGTAATAATCTTTCATGGGGTGTCGACTTAATTCGATTGCGATAATTATTAATTCTGTAGTGAAAGGGCCATTCAGGGTTTCCTACATATTGTTTCTGGCATAGAATATATATATATATATATATATATATATATATATATATATATATAGATAGATAGATAGATAGATAGAATTAGAAGTATCATAATCATAATTAAGTAATTCATCGAGTCTAGAAGTAACCTCAACAGAATGCAGAATGCACTGGACGGCCGTTTCGTCCTATATTTGGGAATCATCAGCAGTGCGCATTCTGTTGAGGTTTCTTCTAGACTCGATGAATTACTTAATTATAATATATAATATATATATATATATATATATATATATATATATATATATATGTGTGTGTGTGTGTGTGTGTGTGTGTGTGTGTATGTACGCATGTGTATATATATCCCAGTGTGCGGTACCTTTGGAAAGTGCCTGAAAACCATACGACGGACTGACCCAAGCCATATGAGTGAAAATGGGTAGACGGAACCCTACTGGGTCGTCGATAGCTGTGCTAACACGAAGTCACAAGTCATCGTGATCGAGGGTTTGAGTGTTCTGGCTTGTTCAGATTGTTGATCACGTTAGATGATACGGTCTTTCCAATAAACTGTAATTAAGTTCTGCACAGTATAGTTGCAGTATAAACCAGTGGTCGGCTCTGTGGGTGCTGAACAAACACAAATCTGCCTGAGCGAGCGTCTGCAACAAAGATTGTCTAGTCGCCCTAATATCTAGTATCCTCAATATGAGGGCCAGCTATTATTCATTTATTATATACATACATACATATATATATATATATATATATATATATATATATATATATATATATAATATAGAAATCAACACTTTAGAGGCGACAGTCTATTTCATGCCTCTAAGTGTTAACTTCTATGTTCACTTTTATATTTACACACGCTCTATCTCTGATATTGAGCACTTTATCCCATAAATATAGCACATCTTAAGACTATATTTCTTCATAAAACGTATCAGGAAGGTTGCTATGGTAGCGGAGCTAATGTACGCAAAGTGAATCCACTTGGCACAGACTAACCTTAAACTCTGCACACATGCACACTAATGTTATAACGTTCTTGCTCACTTCCGTTATTTGTAGCAGTACTTGAAAGGAATGTGTGTAGAGTATAGTCATCACGCCACACCACAGAGGTTTCATCATTGTACATGGCTTGTGCAGCTGTTTTTGGCAAAGCACAACATTCCCAAGATTCGACAACTACCATATTTTCCAGATTTCGTCTCTTGCGACATTTTCCTTTTTCCAAAAATCAAATCCCGCTTGGAAGGAACAAGATTTCAAGATGTCGAGATAATCAAAAAGAATGCGACGAGACATCTGCTCGCTACCCCAATAAAGTTGTTCTAGGAATGATTTCGTCAATGAAATGACGCTGGAAAATGTGTGTGGCTTCAGCAGAAGACTATTTCGAATTGATATGTATTGTAGTTTTCTTTTTATAGCACCAGTCACGATGCTTTTCGAACAGATCTCGTATTATAATTGTATAATGAACTTGAAAGACTCATTTGTTAAGCTTGAATTATTTCGATATCAAAAAGATTCATAGGAAGAAATCTTTAATGTATGAAACAAATGTCAGTGAGACTCAATTGTACAAAGAAAAGCGAAGATCTGATCATCCAATAAAGCAAATATATTTCTGACAAAAGTTGTTGTTTTTTTTTTTTAATGCGCTTAAAAGAAAATATATGTTTTTTGTAATAGAATTTTTCCTTTATTTTTATGATGTATCGCTGCTTTCGCAGTATTAATGAAGATTTGACAAAAGGGAAATTAAAATTTGATCTAATTAGAACAAAATAACAACGCCTGTCGGGATTCGAGTTTACTCTAGACATCAAGTGGATTTCCTATACAGGATCCATTATCAAAGATGCCTTAAAAAATGATCGTCTTACTATATAATTCCCAAAAGTATGTACATCCTTCTTCCATGCGTTATCTTTATATCTTTATAAGAGACAGATTAGATGAAAAATGGATTATTGCTGACACATCTGGACTGAACTTGCTTAATCCTAGCTTTTCAGACTTGATGAAATTCAAAATAGTCTACATGGTGTTATGGAAAAAAAACATATTTCTACGGACACTGCGTTGCAATTCTGCTGTTATTTAATTGTTTAAATTTTATCATTTTTTATTTATTGTCGATGTAGGATGCTCATACTGTCTCGCCAAATCCGTTACTCGTACGTCTTCCTCATTTTTTTAAAAATAATTTCCCGCTTTACCTCCAGCGAAACCATACCTTTCAGCTTTTCACCACTGCTCTCTACACTTACTTTCTTCGTTCCCATAGTGTCACTAAAGGAATTTTGCAAAATAACGACAAAAACATACAACATAGATCTTTACAGAGCGAACTCAACACGTGTACTGCGAGTGGAAATCTTCTCGAAGCTTGACGCTTGCTGCGCCAACTAACGGATGCTTAACTGAAAGTCGTTCGTATCTTAAAATTCAGCTCGGATCTCAAGGCAAAAATCGGCCGGCTCGTATATCAAAAACTCGTATGTCAGTACGCTCATATCTCAAGGTTATATTATATATATATATTTGTGTACCTTTCAA